CCAGTAAGTTTGGGAAGACCTATTTACAATAAGATGTTTTGCTGTTGTATGAGATTATTTATCTGTTTGGCCTCGTGGATTCAAGTTGGAGATGAAGAAACGGTTTTTCTATTGCTTGTTTTTACAGGTTTCTTTTCCTTCTTTTCCTTTTCTGTTTTGTGTCTCCACCACATCTGAAATGGCTGACTTAACGAGAATATGTCCACATTCTATAGTTAATAATAACCATGTGCCATCAAGACAATTCTGACTTGTGGTGACCTTTTAAGATTTTGCTAGGTAGAGCAGTGATTCTGATGCTTGGGTTACTCAGGTGTTTTTGGACTGCAACTCCCAGAAGCCTTCATCACCAGCTGTGCTGGCTGGGATTTCTGGGAGTTGCAGTTCAAAAACACCTGAGTAACCCAAGGTTAAGAACCACTGAGATAGAGAATACTCAGAAGTGGTTTACCATGCCCTTCTTCTGGGGGTTCCTTGGGACTGTCCAGTTTCCCACAGCTACACAGGACTAACAGTGGGCTATTGAACTCCCAACCTCTGGCTCCACATCCAGATTCCTGAACCACTGAGCTATCCAGCCAACTTCTCCACATTCTATAGTGCTGCAAAATGTTTGCCAGACCTTTTGCTTCTTAGGACTTGCCTTCACTGTTCCTTTTGAGGTGCTGAGTACATATCTTTCACAGGAGACTAGACTGGCCCCATCTTTGCTGTCCTTCTGCAAACAGGCAAAGACTTTTCTCTTCAGGCAGGCTTTCTGTGAGTGACTGGCTGCCAGAGTGGGTTTTTTTTTAATTATTAAAAAAATTGATCATAGTACCTTACTGTTTTGAAAGTTTTGGTGTTGTTTTTGTTTTTTGTATGATGATGTTTGATTGATTCTTTTTAGCATTTGTATACTCACTGTTTTTAACTTTAATATCGTCTTTTAATGATGTAAGCTACCTTTGGTTCTTTTGAGGAGAAAGGAGATGTAAAAACAAAAAACAGAACGAAACAGTCCAGATTTTTTTAAAAAATAAAGGATTTTGGAGATTTTTATTATTGAAAATGGCATTTGCATTTTAGCGCTCTCTTAAAGCAGGCAGTAAGATCTCTTTTCTGCCCCAAAGAACACCACCACAGTTCAGAACACACTCTTTCACTAGTCCGAGGATTAGTTTTACCTGACTAGATGGGAGAGAAAGGAGTGTAAAAGATCTGCTGCCTGAATGGCTTGTGTCCAGGTAGTTGACCTCTTTCTCTACAACATTGTACTGTTGTATGTTCTTACAGCATGATTTCTCCCATGTTTTTGTTTTTCTTGGCTCCTGTGTTGTTATGGCATGGGGGTTCAGAGAGATTTTCAGAGATTTTCATCATGCCATTGCTGTCATCTGAAGCAATGGAGAAGTTATGGGACGGATAGGCAGATATATAATGAAGGTGATGGCAGATGTTGAGTTCCATATTCTCTATTGTAGTTGAACTGGAAAGCTGCAATATCTCCTTGTTTCTTTTTTGGGGGTACTAAACAGATCTTAATAGCTTTCTCTGCAACAGAACTGGGAAAGTGAGGGAGTACACTCTAGCTGTGGAGGGGCTCAGGGCTCAGCAGTTTGTTCACAAATGGAGATGGGGAATTCATCTTCATCTGTGAAGATGAATCCTGCCAGCACAGGTGGCCAACTCAATTACCTCCTGCCCCCATAACGCACTGGTTTGCTTACGGTGCCGCATGTGTGGCCGACGTCATTTTCAGCAAATTGCAGCAGTAGCCCAGCTGCCACAGCCCCACCTCCGTGCTCAGCCAGCTACACCGCAGCTGAGCAGGGAGACTTGTCATCCCGCCCCCTTTCCAGAGTAGCTGGGTGAGCAAGGAGGCAGGGCTTCAGCAGCCAGGCTATTGCCACGATTGGTACGCTGATGATATTGGCCATGTGCACCATGCATTGCACGGTAAGTAGACCAGTGGATTCTGGGGATGGGAGATAATTCGGCCAGTCACCTGTGCTAGCAGGGTTCGTCCTTATAGGTGAAGATGAATCCCCCATCTCGTATATTCACCAATTTTCAGATGCTTCAAGACAATACTCTCTTCCTTTAATACAGATTGAAAATTTTGTATAACAAGCCCACAGTGCCTTACCATTGACTGTGCTGGGAAATATGGACCAAAATGTCTGGCAGCCAGTGGTTCCCCATCCCTGTCTTAGTTGATACTGTACTATCTTTACACCAAGTTGCAATTGCTCACTTTGAATTAGATCCTAGAACTCTCAAAGTAAAAATGCAATTTTTGAAACAGACTTTAGCTTGGGAGATTCAAAGAGGAAAGAAGTAATGTGCAGTAGGACCCCAGTATCTGTGGGATCAGTATCCATGGTTTCATTTATTTATCTGTGGCCTGAAAATACTAAAATATATATTTTAAAAAACCAGTAATATGTATTTCCAGATGTAATTAACTGGCGACTTGACAGAGATCATGCTCTCTACTCGATTCACTATGTGCACTTTTCATTATCTGCAAGGGGACTTGGAACTGATCCCTTGAAGATACGGGGGGGGGGGTTCCTACTGCAAATGTATCTTTTTCATATTTTAAAGGAATACAGTAATATGTATTTCCAGATGTAATTAACTGGCTACTTGACAGAGATCATGCTGTCTACTCGATTCACTATGTGCACTTTTCATTATCTGCAGGGGGACTTGGAACTGATCCCTTGAAGATACGGGGGGGGGGGTCCTACTGCAAATGTATCTTTTTTATATTTTAAAGGAACTCTTCAATAAAACTTTAAAATTTCTTTGAAATTGTTTGGTTGACAAAGAAATTCAAGGAACAAATCCATATTTTTGTAATGTTCTAGGACCTTTACATTTATTATTATGATGGACTGTGTTACTCCTGTGCATCCTTTCTGCATGGTAAGGCATTTCCGTGTTAAGGGCCACTCTAAATCAGCTGCATAATCTGGATGTAATTCTTGAAGCCATGTTCCATATTCCATATGTTGTTTCTTGCTCTGGAGACATGTGTTTCAGGAAATGAGATCACAAACAAAAGAGTCTGATTTCAAAATAGGGTAAAGAATTTGTAGCAATCAATGCACTGGAGATGAAGGCTTTGTTTGCTGTATCTTTTTCTAATAATAGTTAAGTGAAACCAGAAAAGGTTAATACATGACCAAAGCAAAATTAAAATTAGTGTTTTTACTGACCTTTCCTAACCTCAGTGTATATGTAAACAAGAGGGATCCACAGATAAGCAAATGTGCTTTAAAATGTTATAGCAAAGTACTTCAGACAATGAAACTGCTGAGCTTTGTATTAATATGTATTTGCAGAACAGGGGTATATTTGCTGTGTCATCAATTTAAATAACATTGACAAATTTTTCCCTTTAAAGCAAACCTGCTGAGAGCAGTTCATTAATACAGAGAAGTTGTTTTGAACTAAAAACACAAAGGGATGAGTAGTAATGTGTGAGAATCCCTGAGGTTTTGTTTCTTTCAGCTTCCTTTGCACTATTTCCAGTGTAGGAATGAACATTAATCATAGTATATATAATTTGCATCTAAATTTTTGATTGAATCTATTTTTCCCATCAATTGAATTTGAGAGAGAAAAGATAACTCAGACACTTTTAAAATATATTTTATATACCAGGTTAGTTCAAAATCTGTCATCCTATTAATGATGAAAACAGCTTTTTTGAGGGGGGGATGCTTCATTTATTTATGTTCATTTGGTTTCACAGCAGCTTCAGAAAAATGTACTGCAAGTGCAGTTTGGAGTGAACTTAGCATTATTCTTCAACTGGATATCCTATATGTATAGTATGTACCTAGACAAGACTATTGTGTTACATTTGTGCGGAGTGGAAACTATTGCTACCCTAGGATAGCTCCAGACTGTCCAGTGCAGTACTGGCTAAAATCTTAGTACTTATACCTGCAATTCACCAATGATATTTAGATTTATTGCATTATTCCAGTTTAAGTATACAATAGGATTTTGGCCGTCAAGATGCATTGGGGTGTAATTGTCACATGCTATTTTATTTACTTGCATATATCCCTTTGTAAAGCTAAAGCCCAACATTAGCAACTTTGTATATAAATCAGGATATAAAAAGCAATGTGAATATGTAAGTTTGAAAAAAAACAGATGTCTTTCATGAAATGATGATTTCAGTTTCACTTAAATTTGGCTTAAGAAACTGAATTGTGAAAGAAAGGTTTAGATCTTGGCTGTGTCACAAATGTTATCTTCAGACAATTTGCTATCTATAAATAGGGACAGAAAGGACAAAATACTCACTTCCTTTGAATGGGTGGAATTCTCAGTCTTGAAAAGCTTGATGTAGCATCTTTGTTAACTCCATAATAATCTTTACACTTCTTTAAGCATCTATGAGAGCTGCCTTCATTGTATAGATATGTGTGTCTGTTTGCCTGAAAGTTCTGTTTGTATCAAAAATTTACATACATCTGGTAACTTTGAAAATGCCGACTAATTCAAATCAATGAAATGAATTCTGTCTTGCAAGCAACAATAGGTGTGTGAAAGTCCAGTTGAACCTTAAGTTAGAATTGTTAACAAACTGCAAGTTGGAGTCATTGTGTTTTTTCAGTTATTCATAATGCCTTTACATTTTAATTATAACCCATCAACTCTTAAGTGATTGCTTCTAGGTTAGACTCAGATGAATGTCATTGAAGGTTGTTTTAATTTAATGTATCCAACATAGCATCTGTTTCTAAGGTTTTAAAAGCCAATTTATATGGAAATTTATTGTAGCAAAAAGTCAATAGAACAGATGCATCTAACATGACTTGCAATGTGGAGTTTAAAATTTAAGAAGGTTACATAGCTCTGATATTACACTTTTGGATCTAAATTAGTAATAAAAATGAAAGCCTGTATATAATAATTCCATTGAGCCAGCTTGAGCCATCTCTTTGATCATGGTCATGTAGTTTGATTCTTTCTTTCTGTGTTTATTTTTGTAGCCGAGCTATCAAGACAAACCAGGATCTTCTTCCTGAAACACCATGGACTCAAATATTCTACAATGACTTTTGGGGCACCCTCCTTACCCACAGTGGGAGCCATAAATCATACCGACCTCTCTGCACACTTTCTTTTCGTATTAACCATGCTATTGGAGGAATGGATCCTTGGAGCTACCACCTTGTAAATGTCTTGTTACATGCTGCAGTCACAGGACTTTTCACCAATTTTTCCAGAATATTGTTTGGTGATGGTTATTGGACCTTACTTGCTGGCCTGCTCTTTGCTTCCCATCCCATCCATACTGAAGCAGTGGCAGGAATTGTAGGAAGAGCTGATATTGGAGCTTGCCTTTTCTTCCTCCTCTCCCTACTGTGTTATACTAAGCACTGCTGGACAAGAAGCTACTCAGAAGGTACCTGGGGCTGGATCTTGGGTGCAGGGCTATGTGCCACTTGCAGCATGCTTTGGAAGGAGCAAGGAGTGACTGTTCTAGCTGTTTCAGCAGTTTATGATGTCTTTGTATTTCACAAACTAAAAATGCACCAAATCATTCCTGCTCTCTATAAGGTGAGTAAGATATGTGACTAGTAAGTAACTGTTTGTATATATTTTAAGGGGTAGATTAAGCTAAATCCAGTTATTGGTCCCAGGTGTAGACTTTTTGAATCACTGGAATTTGCATAAGTGTCAACTCACAATTTACTGATTTGTTCAGTGGCTGTATTTGAGGTGGAGCTAACAATTAGATTCAGCCAATTGAGATAATAAACCAGTTGCTAATTTGACTAAAGTAGACCCATTGAGTAAGTTACAAGTGTCATTTTACAATTCCAGTCCATTCAAAGAGTCTTTCCTATTTAGGACTGACAGTTGATTTAGCTAACTGTTTTGTTAAAGATAGACTAATGAGAACTTGTTGATAGCTAAATATTTCAGAAGCTTGGTTGTAAGGGTTGACAGTCTTGGAAGATGTTTTTCTTATATGGCTCAAATTGGAATTGAGGCAAATGTTCCATATTGGCTGAAATCCTCTAGGGCAATTTTACTTGCATAAAGGAAATGATGTCATTAGCAGTGGTAGACTGAAGTTAAATAAAGGCTTCCTTTTGTGATTTTGGGGTGCATATGGTTTGTTCACAATAAAAATCACATAAAGTAGCTTTTAATCAACAGCAATCTGCAACTGCCAGTGATATTATTCATTTTTGTAACAGTTTTACATTCCAGATTCTACTTAGTATAATAAATGCAACAAGAAAAAGAAGAGAAAAAAACCCCACACAGTTGAAGTAGGAAATTCACATTAGTAGCAGCAAACTTTTGTTGTTGTTTAGTCGTTAAGTTGTGTCCGACTCTTCGTAACCCCATGGCCCAGAGCACACCAGGCCCTCCTGTCTTCCACTGCCTCCTGGAGTTTTGTCAAATTCATGTTGGTACTTTGATGACACTGCCCAACCATCTCGTCCTCTGTCATCCCCTTCTCCTCTTGCCCTCACACTTTCCCAACATCAGGGTCTTTTCCAGGGAGTCTTCTCTTCTCTTGAGATGGCCAAAGTATTGGAGCCTCACCTTCAGGATCTGTCCTTCCAGTGAGTACTCCAGGTTGATTTCTTTCAAAATGGATAGTTTTGGGCTCTTTGCAGTCCAGGGGACCCTCAAGAGTCTTATCCAGCATTACAATTCAAAATCATCAATTCTTCAGCTGTCATCCTTCTTTAAGGTCCAACTCTCATTTCCATACATTGCTACTGGAAAAACCATAGCTTTGACTATGCGACCTTTGTCAGCAAGGTGATGTCTGTGCTTTTTAAGGTGCTGTCTCGGTTTGTCATCGCTTTCCTCCCAAGAAGAAGGCATCTTTTAATTTTGTGGCTGCTGTCACCATCTGCAGTAATCATGGAGCCCAGGAAGGTAAAATCTGTCACTGCCTCCATATCTTCTATTTGCCAGGAGGTGACGGGACCAGTGGCCATGTAGAGTTTCAGACCATTTTTTTCATTTTCCTCTTTCACCCTTATTAAGAGGTTCTTTAATTTCTCCTCACTTTCTGCCACCAGAGTGGTGTTATCTGCATATCTTAGGTTGCTGATATTTCTTCTGTCAGTCTTAATTCCAGCTTGGGATTCATGCAGTGCAGTGTTTTGCATGATGTATTCTGCATATAAGTTAAATAAGCAGGGAGACAATATACAGCCTTGTCATATTCCTTTCCCAATTTTGAACCAATCAGTTGTTCTGTATCGAGTTCAACAAGAATGCCATCACCTCTACTGGCCTTGTTGTTAGCCATGCTTTCTAAGACCCACTTGATTTCACTCTCCAGGACATCTGGCTCAAGGTCAGCAACCACACTATCTGGGTTGTCAAGGACATCTAGATCTTTCTGATATAATTCCTCTGTGTATTCTTGCCACCTCTTCTTGATGTCTTTTGCTTCTGTGAGGTCCCTCCCATCTTTGCACAAAATGTTCCTCTAATATCTCCAATTATCCTGAACAGATCACTGGTTTTTCCCTTTCTATTATTTTCCTCTATTTCTTTGCACTGCTCATTTAAGAAGGCCCTCGTGTTTCTCCTTGCTATTCTTTGGAAGTCTACATTCCATTTTCTGTAACTTTCCGTATCTCCCCTGCATTTTGTTTCCCTTCCCTTCTCTGCTATTTGTAGGGCCTTGTTGGACAGCCACTTTGCTTTCTTGCATTTCCTTTTCTTTGGGATGGTTTTTGTTGCT